TATCGTAACTAATCCACAAACAGGTAGATATCATCTTACCTTCAATTTTTATCATTACGATGGCGAGCTCCCGAGTGCCGCACACACCACAGCACCCGCGACACCGGCGCCATTACTGCGCGGGTCACAACATAACTGCGCATCGAGCAGCATCAAGACCATAAAATGTACCGGGCCAAGGTAACAAGAATCCATGAAATTTGATCCTCGACGCCAGCGGGACCATGGGTTGCAGGGGGATTGGGTGGGGAATGTGAAGCAAAATGAGAACATGGCAGCTAAATAAAAGCTCACTACATGGCACCTATATATGGCATGGAACATGGACGCCAATGTGATGCTGGGTTGAAGGGGATATAGGGTGGGGAGGTTAGGTTAGGTTAGGTTAGGTTAGGTTAGGTTAGTTAGGTTAGGTTAGGGTAGGTTAGCTTAGCTAAGCTTAGGTTCTGGTCTATTCTCAGGTTAGGTTAGGTTAGGTTAGGTTAGGTCAGGTCAGGTCAGGTCAGGTTAGCTTAGCTTAGCTTAAGTTCTGGTCTATTCTCAGTTAGGTTAGGTTGGGTTAGGTTAAGTTTGGTTTGGTTAGGTTAGGCTAGTTTAGGATATGTTCTGGACTATTCTGGCCTGTGTGCTTCATAAATGTTCCTAAACTCGATCAGAAACGATTTTGGTTGCTTGATTATTGCTACCTTGGTCCCGTACATGTTTTATGGTTCTTGATAAGCAGAAATATTGTGCTTTCGCAACAACGCAGAAACGGCGCTTGGGAGTCGAGGCGGTGCGGTGCGGTGCGTGCGGCGCTCGGGAGCTCGCTATCGTAGTTATTAAAATTCGAGGGTAGGAGCATGATTCTATCTGTTTTGAAATTATTTACGATATGTTCCGCCTTAAACACGACGAATGGTGGGCATGAGATGTGAGCAGTACAAATGACAGCTAGAAAACATAATGCTGTGAATATTTATGTATAGGATTAGGTTGCAATCTTGTGTGATCACATATTATGGTTGTTTTGGGGACTGAATCCCATGTCACATCAATTTTCCATCATCACATCGTCGTCCTTAGGTATATGAGTGCATGTAGGCACATTATGTGATGGATATATAATTTCCATGAAAGTGATCAGGTATGACATTTTTTGTAGCTGCTCCATTGCATGCTTTGTGGTCCAAGCTTCATAACTTTCTGTATGAGTCTAATTATATCAAGGGTATCATAAAGGCTAGCTCTTCCTTAGAAACCTGATGATAACTATAGCAATATACTTTTTTTTGCTTAGATATACCAGGGCCCGCAATGAAATTGTCAGTGACAGGTACCCAAGAGGGCGGTGTTGGAAAGAGGGGTGTCTGCAGTCCTTACAGTGAGAAGAACTGTCACAAGACTGTGCTGCTGGTGAATAGATATTGGGCATGCGTTGGTGCCCTAAGCCACCAATATTGATGACTGTGCAAAATCCCAGACGCTCGACGAACGGGCCCTGTCAGTGCATCGTGACACGCTTCATTAATCACCTCCTGATGCCGGCCCTTCCACACTAATGAGGTTTGCGTTCTGTCATGGGGTTTGCGGGCAACGAGATACGAAATGCATAAACACAAGCACAAGAGTGCACCTTATTTATTGACAAAATAGATCGATTAACTCAATGATAAAACTAAGTCATGGGAAATAAGCCCTAAATGCATCATGCTGTGATTCGACCTAAGCTTGATGACCACACCTATGATGATCGCGCGGCCCAAACCAAACACAAATTCTCACAGATGCAGTTCACACCCCGCTGAGGTCAGGGCACGAAAGTGCCCGAAAGGCCGGTCTTTACAATTCGCGTTGTGCTTGATTCTGATCTGGCTGCTTCCCCCCTCCCCCTTCACGCGGGCGCATAACCCAACTGTAACAACTGGGACGCTTGATGGGACATTCTCGGTCGCCCGGCCGCCGGGCCTCGGCTTCAGGCCCGGTGTAGCCGACAGTCAACGTGGCCGGCGACGGGGACAGGCGTACGAACTTCCAGTAGTGCCGTGCCTCGCCGCTCAGGAAAAAACGGCACCCACAAGGCGTTCCGCGATGCCGTTCCGCAGGGTGACATCGGCTTGACGGCCGATAGAAATATGTGACACTTATGCATAGGCGCACCCAAAATTTCACCAGCGGGACACAACTCCAACGCTTTCACAACTCCAACTGAAAACCGCGGTACGGCCCTCGCCGTTTCTTGCGTACCTGGAACTGCTGAAATGGATGCTGCACTTGTTGATCTTCTCTTTTTTGCGGACTTACATGCAGTTTTCAGCTTTCAGCATACTGTTACGGACGCACGAATGCATGGCCTTACATTTGGTAAGGGGATGGGTGGGATGAGGTGCATATACCGACATGGGGGTCACTACTTAGCCAAATACTTGTCTCGGAGTAAGGTCAGAGAATTTGAGTTTGCATAGTTACGAACAGTCCTCCGTTGGCTCCCAAATCGAGTCGACTAGGCTGCTCTGTTCACCTCTTCTCAGTTAACAGCATCTTGTTTGCGGTTTGTCGTCTTTTTTGCACATTGATGTATATTTGCTTCCGCAGTACCTGTGCCTTCTGGCCGTGCCATCGTGCTGGTATCTTTGGAACTTGTGCTTTTTATTTGCGTCTCTGGCTGCCCCAGCAAGGACGCTCTGACCAGTGTCCCTGGCTGCCCCAGAATGTTCTGTCTGATCCATCCCCATGGCCGTCGGCATGTGTAAGCATACCTTGTGTCGCTGCTGGAGCTGAAATTGGACACTCTGTGGCCGGCGTTCGGCATCAGCCAGGTGTCCGTGCTGCTAACGCCGGTGCCATTCCAGGCGCGTCACGGTGCCACACTGGCCGCCGCCTGCCACAGCCAGCCGGCCAAAATGAAGTCCAACGGCGTGGTTATGGTGCTTCCCGCAGAGGTTGTCTTCAGGGCGGCGCCCGAGACTGGTGAGCTCGCCGAGGGATGCGGACCGGCATGGGATCACGGAAGGATTGGATCGGACGGTGCTCGCTCAGAGTATGTCGCGATGGTGGGTCTCACTTGTGGATGTAGTTCAGCCAGCGTTCCAAAATGCATTCAGCGGGCTGTGCGGGATTTAAATATAAATTAATGCTACCAGAATCCTGGCTACCCGGCGACGGCCTCGCACGCAATTGGCTCGCGCCAATCCGTTGCCCTTTGACCCGACCCAGACACCTGACCTACGTAGTGCATTTGTCAAGCCTGAGGTGCATAGATACTGGTTTCACAGCCGCGCAGTCCGATGCTGATTGGCTGATTTTGAACAAGGGGATGGGCAGTCGGCAGTGAGCCACAAGCCGGGGTGTAATAACATGAAAAGTATCCGCATACATGCCACCCAAGTGACCGAATATTAGAACACTGGGTTGAGCTGTCGATTCGTGCGACTTTGACGGTCAAGCGGTCTTTAGAACGCGGTGCATAGCCACTGTGAACGTTTTCATCATTTTGCCGTGCCGCCGCTGAGAATAGGCTGTAAAGTATCTGTGGTGACAATTTGAACCACCCCAAACTCGCTGTGGTTGCTATCAACTGGCTGCCGAATATTTAAAATGATTCTATCTGGTTAAGATATTGTTCACGAGTGACATATCAGCGGTTGTGTTACTTGCTGAATTTATTCGGGATCTTTCTCTACGCTTTTGTATGTGGTATTCATGCTGCAGAATTCTGCTAAGCTTTGGTCTCAATTTAGATGCGTTCAACGCGATGTGCGTACCACTTGGTGATGTTTGCGCAATGACATATCTTCAGCTCATGTTATGGCATAATGCAAATGGCATAAAATGATAATGTTTCACGTTTTGGTGGCCTGGCTTGCTGATAAGTTATGTATTGTAACAGGCGATGTTTGTAAGACTCGATGTCGTTGAAGCCTGTCTCGTCGCGACGCCTGCACCGATCGCTGGTCTGACGGGGCACTGTCGTGTTCACAGCTGTCAGCCCGATTCCGGGCTTGCCATCGGCCGTGTCTGGGGAGCAGGCGTCTGGCAAGCCGTTCCCCATGGTGATGCTGGTTCACCTGATTCTGCTGACGCGCTTGCTGATGGTAAAGCTGATGCTATTCGGCCAGCTCCTGGCCACGGCGGCAGCCGACAACGACGGGTCGGAGGCTAACATCTTCAAGAGGCCGCGAGACAACACGGGGTCAGGCGAGGTGATATATGCCTTCTTTTTTCGGGGTGAAAACGCGCTTGCTCTTAGTAGATCCAGTTTTGAATGTAGACGAACTTACTGATGGATAATTTGATATTAGATTCACTGGACGGGATAGCCATATGCATAGTTGGTAGATGCGTGTTGGGAAGCCAGGCTTCAATGCGTTTTGGAATATGTGTCCTGGAATTCCCCTTTGGGCCTGTCCGTATCAGTTCACTGGAGAAGGTCAGTTCGCGAGATGTAAGTGATAACCGTGTGGTATGTGGTAGCATTGGCATGGTGGTATGGCCCAGTGACATCCTTCTCAGCTTTGTTTCGTTTCTGACCTTCAAGGTGGTGGAGTAATAATCCGACGTAGTCACTATCATTGTTTGTTCTAACCAAAAACTGACAAGATGTCGCTTGTGACCAAACCAATCGTGCCTCACCGCCTGAAGATTTGGGTGATGTCACCGCCTGTGTTAACTCCCAAGGACGCTGGTGACGCTGGTGGAGCTGCGCACGCTAGTTGTGCACGCCATGCCCATGTTGTTGGCTGGCCGGCCACATCAGCCCGCTGCTGCTGACCGTGGTGGAGACACCGCACTACGCGAGCCGGCCGGACTGCGGTGGCGACACACCGGTGGTCAGGCGGCCCAAGCAGCTGATAGCCGACTGCATGCCGACGCATGGGACGGCACATGACGTGCGGCGCCGGGCGCTGATTGCCACCGACCCCGTCCTTATCCAGGCGCTGACGGCAACCAGCCTCGTCCCCATGCGTCACTGATGGATTTTGTTGCCCGCATCCCGCACTGCTTCACGCGGTGGATCAGGCAGGGGATGGAAACGAACTGGGGCCGCGGCAATGTATCGCTGATGATTCTCTTCCTCCGTGAAGCGATGTTTTTACTGCCATTGCCTGTCGCGTGTTCGTGCTCCTGTGATGGCCGTCATGCGAGATGACTGGCTGGCTAGCGGCGAAGATGTGTGGCAGGGTCATTGTGCTGCGTTGCATCAAATGTTCACAGGAGCGCGGCGTGTGTGGCTCCAAGAATGTCAGGAATCATAAGTGCGAGAGAAGCAGGTGATGGTGGCCTTGAGAGTGGTGTTTTAGAACTTATTTATTGTGAGGTCCGATGTGTCTAGCTCATAGTCAAGCATTGTGTCGTATGTTCATTTCCATAGGCCGAAAATGTAATGAAGTCAAACTTTTCTAGGGTGTTGTTGGTAACGTAAAATACACTTCGCATGTGTACAAATGGTAGGAAATAAAACCTAAACTTGATTGAAGCCCCAGAGTAGTCGGCTTTTCACGGACCACGGATACGCTTTAGTACGGTCATGAGCATCAAAAGCAGCGGCAGCGAGAATGATCACTTTCCATTTGTGTAATGGTGGGATGATGTTTCCTGACCAGACGTTTTTCCGGGAACGATTGTCCAAAGTCCAATCGAAACCACCAGGACGGATCAGCTCTCCGTCCAACAGTGTCCAAAAATAGGATTGCCAAGTAAAATTTCATGTATAAAATACCGTTGCTCATTGCAACCCATAACTACACCTTCCAACCCACGGTACTGCACTTCCTCATCCTTCACAAATTTTTTAATGGAAAGCAACAGGCTCGTGGGCAACTAAGGAAAATCACGTAATTAGGCAGCATTAATATCTTGCAGGTTTCACTGCCATTAGGGCAGCTTTCTAAAGCTGCCACATTCTACGCCTTTTGACTCCAAAGGTCCTGCACACCAAATTTGGGGGCAATCGAGACGCCCCCGCAATATCACATTTGGATGCTACGCAGTGTATACTCGAAAATTACGCAAAGTTCCACCTCAAAGGCAGTGATTTTCGGAATCGGCGTGTTGAGAAGGCCCTGCACACCAAATTTGGGGGCAATCGAGACGCCCCGCAATATCACATTGGGATGTTACGCAGCGTATAACTCGAAAATTACGCAAAATTCCACCCCAAAGGCAGCGATTTTCGGAGGTCAGCGTCTTGAGAAGGCCCTGCGCACCAAATTTGGGGGCAATCGAGACGCCCCGCAATATCACATTGGGATGTTACGCAGCGTATAACTCGAAAGTTACGCAATATCCCACCCCAAAGGCAATGATTTTCGGAATCGGCGTGTTGAGAAGGTCCTGCACACCAAATTCGGGGGCAATCGAGACGCCTCGCAAAATCACATCGGAACGTTACGCAGCGTGTAACTCGAAAATTACGCAAAATGCCACCCCAAAGGCAGTGATTTTCGGAACCAGCGTGTTGAGAAGGCCCTGCACACCAAATTTGGAGGCAATCGAGACGCCCCGCAATATCACATTGGAACGTTACGCAGCCTATAACTCGAAAATTACGCAAAATTCCACCCCAAAGGAAGTGATTTGCGGAATCAGCGTGTTGAGAAGACCTTGCACACCAATTTTGGAGGCAACCGAGACGCCCCGCAGTATCACATTGGGATGCTGGATTGACGGACGTCACGCCATTGCGTGTCGCTTGCTATTTCTCAATTCATATTATTGATGTTTTGTGAGGGCTTGGGACGGTATATGTTGGATTCAATTATGACGTGTTTGAAGCTTTTGTGTGGTATGCACGAAAGGTAAAGAATTGTATTGTACACGATGCTGTTTGTGTGCGCGGTAGCCATTTGTTAACCCGTTGCTAATGTTAAAGGCACAGGTTTTTCTGCATGATTTTAGTGTAAGGCGGCTTTGGGCCGCTAGTTGCAGGAAGTTGAGTGCTTTGCCTGCTGTCTTGCACTATGCTTGATTGTGTATGTTGTGTTTCTATAGCTGCGTTTTTGAAGACATATGAACCTGGTGGTGGAAAATACACCAAAGTCATTTTGAGGCATGAGGTATGAGCAGTACAAATGACAGCTAGCAAACATAATGCTGTGAATATTTATGTATAGGATTAGGTTGCAATCTCATCTGATTACGTATTATGGTTGTTTGGGGAGTGAATCCCATGTTGCGTCAATTTTTCATCATCACGTACCTTCATGAGGTATATGAGCGCACATAAGCACATTATGTGATGGATGTATAAATTCCATGACAGTGATCAGATGACATTTTTTGTAGCTGTTGTATTGTATGCTTTGGGGCCCAGGCTTCATAACCTGCTGTATGAATCCAATTATATCAAAGGTATCATAAAGGCTAGCCCTTCCCTTGAAATCTGATGATAACGATAGCACTCTACATTTTTGCTTAGATATACCAGGGACCTGCAATGAAATTGTCAGAGACAGGTACCCAAGAGGGAGGTGTGGAAAGAGGGGTGTCTGCAGTCCTTACAGTGAGAAGAACTGTCACAAGACTGTGCTGCTGTGGATAGACAATGGACATGCATTGGTGCCCCAAGCCACCAATAGTGAGAACTGTGCATGCTGTTTTACAAAATAAATGCTGTGACCAGGTCTTTTACTTATGTCCCATTGTTATTGATATTTAGAATAAGGACACTGTATAGCCATACAGTGTCTTTACCCCCTGGTATTAAGAAAATCATGCTGGCATGTGTTATGCGTTTATTAATAAAGGCAGGCTGTGTACTAGGCATTGTCTAATGGTTACAAGAAAGCTTGTTTTCCCCTATTGCTGCCAAATTGAAATTTCTACCTCTTTGAAAATTATGAGGACAGCATTTCAAATAAGACATGAACAGCATGGTAGCTTTTATGCAGCAGTTTCAAAATCAATTTCCTTGCCTGCACATGGCTATTAAATGCCTTCCAAAGGTCATAGTAAGTTGTAACAAACAGCAGGTTTTGATCTCTTCAGGTGCTGAGATGACCTGATGCAAGATTATAAGTGGTTATATTGGATTCCTGTGGGACAAGCAATCCGGAAACATGCATGACATGACTAGTATACTGCATGTCATGTTGGCCTCATATGGCTTCATGTTGACATCCTACATACATCTTGACTATGTGATGACCAGAATAAAATTGTAGCTGACGTCTAAGCTGTGTAACTCGATCAAAATGAATGTGAAAATATTGTGAATCATAGATCACATGAATACACCAAATTATCACAGTAATGGAACGACCTTGACCTGACCCCATTGTGACATCTATATGTTTGTGACACAGCATCCTCATTTAGCCAAAGAGCATATACTCTTTGAAATAGTCTGTTAGATAGTCTGTTAGTCTGTTAGAAATAGTCTGTTGGAGGGGGAGGTGTATGATTTAACCAAGGCCGTCGCCTCTAATGTGTTCTTCTGTGCATATTGCTTGCACCTTGAGAAAATGCAAACTCAAATGCAAAGGTTAGGTTAGGTTCTTGATTTGGCTGAGGTCATACCACCCTACTTAGGTATGGCGCGATCGAAACACAGCAGGGCTATTTCATTTCTCCCAGCGAACTGACAAGCAGTTGCATCTCGGGACTCGAAATCGGTAGAGAATGGCTCATTTCAATCACTCGTTATGCAACATAGCAGCATATCGGCGCTAGCTCGGCACCGAAGGTTCAACAGCCACACCTGTGCCATAAAGCGCAGGTTAGAATTTTCCAAATTTTGCCTTTTCTCAACCAATGGCTGCTGACGGTAAAAGCAAAGTCGGTGAAAGTAACTGGCAGCTTCTTATCGCTGAATCTGTGGTGGCGACGCAGAAGGCATGTTGCCTACGTCCTCCTTCATCTCTGGCGGCAATCAGGCGTGATTCGGCGCAGCAGTTCGGTGTCACGTAAGTCACAGGTGAACACCACGCCATTAAATCGTTTACAGTTTATGCATTGATATGTCGCAGCACGTCGACAGGTGCAGATGCGCTTTTTACCCATGCTGCACAGCTTCGCATCATCGTCGCAACGGGGAACCCACCATAGGTTGCGTGGGAATTGGACAAAAGGGAAATAGCGGCATCAGAGGCCGAGCCCGAGGATTGCCTTGCCCTGCAGTTTTTTAGTGTCAATTGTAAAACCTGCATACCACTTGAATAATCTCACACAATGATACCCCCGTGGCACAGACAGCGGCGGCACGGATAGCACGCCCCCCCCCCCCCCCCCCGCCCTCATCCCTTAGGATTCCCAAGGGCTCGTTCAGACCCCTTGGTACCGACGAGTGATGTCCCGTTTTGAGTGCCCAAAGGTCTGACTGGGGGTCGCATTAAGGTGCCTGACGCTGCTGGCTGGGCTTAAAAATACCAGTCAGAGAGTTCTTTGCATGCGTTGCAGGGGGACCCCTGCGTCGATAAGAGCCAATCTGTCGGTTGGGCACCACCAGAACCAAACATCCGGCTCCTCGGCAGTCTAAGTCTGAAGGCCCATTCTAAAGTAACGACGAAGGTGGGGTTCCTGTTTCGCCCAGGGTCCCGAAGTGCCTGACATAAGGTCCCGCGTTGGGAAGGTGCCACGAAACCGTCAAGAGCCGTGTTCGAGGAGATCCGAAGACCTTGGGGGACCAAAGCCCAAGAGCCTGGGCGGAAGACGGAAGGACCGAAGTGCTGGCTGTTGGTTACGACCCTCCGCTGGTAGCGCCGTGACCT